GGGGAAATGTGTTGTGTAATTGAGTGCGGTGGAAAGCGGAGGGGCGGAGCGGAGGGGCGAATGGGCCAGTTGATAAGCTAACAAATATAGCTACACATGCCACTCACAGCTGGAGCGGGATCGAAGGCCCCTATGAGGTCACAGACTTTCCGAGCGTGATCGCTTCTCTCGCTTTTGTATCTGTATCTGAGCTGCGAGGCACTTGTGCTTCCGATTCTTATTCCAATTCGGATTGCCGCTCTTCAGAGTTGATCATTTATCCAAAATCCCAGGCGTTCAGTGATCTAGTGGCAGCGGGTGTATCTTTTCTTTTTTGAGGTTTGGATACAAATGGATTTCAACTGTGCACTCAAAGAAAACGACTCAATGAGATTTACATAAGAATAAGGAAGAGATGCACTGCAAACAAGTTTGTCAGGCTACCAAAGAATTTTAAATTACTAACCAGGCAAGAGAATGTATACACTTAGTATTAAGTTGAGAAACTTTTAATACAAATTTAAAATATATTCGAATTTGTGTATAAAATGTTTACCTTTAAATATACAAGGTATAGCAATAATAGTACAATAGTACATAAATGTACACGTTAAAATAAAATACCAAACTATCCTTCAAAATAAATGAGACGGTCTTTTTACAAATTGGTTCATAAATCAAACAGTTTCATTCTATGATTTTACTAACTGACAATTACTAAATACTGCCATAATTTATTTATTTTATAAATTGTTCTTCATCAAAAAACCCTAAAACCTAAATGCCAACAAAAACTAAAAATTAAATCATGATTGTGCCAAAATAAGTACCTAACGAAAGAGGATAAAATACTAGGGCAATTTTACCTTACTTTCCGTTATAATCCACTTTTATCTTTCAGTGTTCTTAACGTTTAAACAAATTATTCAAAAGCTCAACGGTGAGTGCTAATAAGCAAATTAACCAAATGCCAGACGCGGCGATTCAATATTTTGTATTAACATTGTACACGGCAAAAGCAAACAATATATACACACATGTTTTATCTGCGCGTATACACACTGTGCGTGTGTGCGTTTGAGTATGTGTGTGTGTGTGTGTGTGTGAGTATCGTACATGTATTGGGCGGACATGCACACAATGGCACTTATCGAAGAGCGAGAGTGACTGAAAAGGCACAACGCTTCACTCACTCGCCTACGAAAGCTGCTCGCCTATTCGAATTAGTACAAAATAATACCGTATTTCCTAGAAACTTACGGATTTACCGCTACGCCGTGTCTTCATCATTAAAGGAGGCAGCAAGACAGAGATGGAGAGATAGAGATAGAGCGAGTGGGAGGGAGATACAAACACGGAGAGCACCAACAAGAGAAGGGCAATTTAGTCCGTTCAATTCCATTACTCATACGCCCCGTGATCCTCAGAGTTTCGGAATCACAATGGAACAAGTAGCTGTCGCAGCGTGTGTACGGGTTTTTATTTTGTATTTTGTTTAAGTAAATTTAACAGCACACCGCATGAAAAAGTTTAAAACATTTTAAATAGTTTGCTAATTGAACAGGGGACCAGCACGTGGGAAATAGCCAATGGTTGCACCAGAAAACGTAAAAACAATTCCCGGTCAGCGAGTTGAATTTCACATTCTTGTCAGCGGCGTATTTTTGTGCTTTGTTTTATTTTTGGTAAAAATTACGAGACACCAGTAGCGAAAAAAACCCCAGCTATCAAACACCAATGCTTCCCACCCGATTATAAGTCTGATTTATTGGTCTTATATTTATTTTGGCTAATGTGAATCATTTTGATTTGAATTTAATTGTACATTTTAAAAACTACAGATATAAGTCCTTGAATATTTTTGATCTTCTAAGTTACCCACGCACTGTTTTTAAACACATTTATTTTCACAAGTTTCACTACAAAATGGTGAAGGGCCTTCACTAACATATGATGCCTACTTTTGGGGAGATTTTTATTTTTAGGAACTTGCCTAAAACTATGCCATATTTAAAAATATAGTTACATTCCGACAACCCTCGTCTGCTAACCTAAGCCTTGATTCTTAGAAAAATACGTGTTTAATTTAATTGGTTTTCATGGCAATTACTACTCCGTGTATGTATGGAAATAATTCGCTTTCAATATAGTTCAAGTAATAATGCATACTGGCGAAGAGGACGGATGAAGCGATGAGCAATATAATCTTCTAATTATATATATTTAAGTGCTTGTTTTTGCTTTGTTTTTGATGCATAGGATTGCAAAGTTTGTCCCAAGCATAAATCAAGGGAACTATAAGTAATTATTGCAGATATTTTAGTGTGTCACAGATCAAGTCATTGAAAATTGATAGGCAAAGTGAGGACATGAACATTAAAATCAATATTTTCTCTTTTATTTGTGTAAGAATAACGATAATGAATCAAGCAGTAAGTACGAAACACCATTTTTATTCCCAAAATCTGAATAATCACAACAAACTGTGATCGGAAATAAGGAGAAGGGAAATCTGAAGGACGATCCAATATAAGTAATAACATCATCCCCCCAACGAGATTCTTATTAATCAGAAATGTTTTTATCCCACAGAAAACAAGGCTCTTTGTCCGTGAAAAGGGCCGAAATGTGGCTGCTGTGTAAATGAAAGCACATTGAGCTGAATAAGTTGCTTGACATCCGCCGCTGGCATCTCGACTTTCCACGTTATTTCCGGAAAAATCACGTGTAAGCTGGGACCGGCAACAAAGGTGAGACACCTCCGTCAGCTGCCCTCGTCATCCGCAATGCTCCGGGGCTACTTTACACGGTGTCAGGTGAGCCGGCAGGTGAGTGGTTGGTAGGTTGGCTACCAAAGGAGATAGGGATGCGGACGGGTGAAACCGTGGGTGCCTGGTCATGCTGCCTGTTGCACTTTTTGCACATAATCATGTCACATAAACGGACGACAGGCCAGGATATGAACAACAAGCTGCCGCTGCCGTTGCCGTTCCCTTTTGGTCCTTTCATCCTGGCGACAGGTGACGCTTGGCTTTAGATGGCCTTTAAAAAAAGGGAGAAAACCGAGGTGCCTTCCAACTTATTTCACCAGCTGTATCCTCAACCCCCTTTTCACTTTATGTTTATGTTGTGTGTTGTGGGCTGTGACGTTGGCCACTGACACTTGGCTCCTGCCGCCCTTCCTGCTCCGGCCCAGGTCCTGTCGCCTGTCTCGTACTCTGCACAAGCGGATGTGACCTGGACACCTGGAAGCCTGGACACGCCGGGTGTTAAAATAACAGGCACCGAACATATTGACTTTTAAAATAAGCATTATGGCGGTAAATTTTTATGAAGCCCCTCCGCCTTCCTGTGTGCGCTGTGTGCGCCAGACAGCTGAGTGATTTATATATATTGTTTAATATTATTATGGCTGGCAGGTGGCCATTCGGCTTTGCTATCGCTTCGCTTCGCCTTGGCCCTGTTCCGGCCGACGGATGTGCAAAATGCGAAAAATTGAGCACATTACAAGCTCCGACTGTGACTCCATCGTCTGCTTCTCGAGCTCTGTGTCCATGCCAAGTCAGTGTCCTGCTAGGTCCAGGCCCTGCCCATGTCCAAGTCCATGTCCATGTCCATGTTCGTGTCCGTGTCCATGTCCCTGTCCACGTGTGGTTGGCAATAATTGTTAAAGTGTGTGGCCGGCTGGGAAAGATGTGGGGCGAATGATGAAGTGGTGGCCCACGGAGGAAGGAAGCCGGCCAGTTTTGCTACCGCTGTCAAGCTCGAGAGGATTGCTCTCGTAAGCCTCGAGAGCAGTTAATGGTAATTGCAATTATCCAGCGAGCTTTATTGGTTAATGAACGAGCACCGGCTTAATGGCACCGGGCCGAGCAAATGATAATGTGCCGGCCAGATTGCCCATCAGAGTCTGGATCTGGAGCTGGATACAGGGCAATGATCTTAAGATGAAACGGTGAGAAAATAATCTCATTCTTAGTATACTTAAGTTGGCATACACAAAACGAAGATAATATCTTTGGAAGAGAAATTGAGTAGTTCAATAGTTTATACATTTAGGTAAGTGCATTCCCTTATGTTCCAGTGGTGTTTTAGTTTGATAGTTTTAAGTAGTTTGATTTATAAAGACCGATATGTAAGAACATACTTGGTTATTGTTCGCTTACCTTTAGCAGAAACTCTCCCGATTACTTTTTGGTCCTTCGAGCAGGTTTTGCACTTTACTCCTTTGACATTTTTTAAATAAATCACATTGAAAATAATTCCTTTCCGTGCTTAAATAATCCCAGACACAGGCAAATCCATATTCAATTGAATTGGGGGATGCGTTAAACCGAAATGCGCTACTAAAAACGATATTAATGCATTGCCGGAGCTGCATAAATGGTTCTGGGGGGAAATTAATTAATAAATAAATAAATGTGTCCACAATTAATTTCCATTTTGCGTGACGCCCGTTTCTTTTTCGTTGCCAATTCCCGATTGATTGCATTTTAAATGTGTTTGCTCAGCACAGCCTCGTCTTTCGTGGCGAATTTTACACGCCACCCAAAAATTAATCGGCGTTTTTACAACATTTTTTATTTTGCTGCCTGCCCTCAGGCAACACTGTTCAAATGCATAACTGCTGTTTACTTGCGAGTGTTCAGCCGGATCATTTGGGTAATTATCGTCAGAAAAAACTGTTGGGCTTTTGTGTGAGTAAGGGCTTAAACGGAGTGGCGGCATAATGTCATAGGGAGATTAAAAACATAAAAAATAATATAATCTTAGTAGTTTTTCTTCCTTTAAATACGTCAATTAATGCTTACTCCAACTCAAGCTAACTTCATTTGTCTGTATATAATAATTTTGTTTCAATTAAAATAACCAAATAATGTAACACGATGACAAGATATTACATAGGATATTTGAAACCAAAGGAAATGCTCCACAACCAGAAAAGCCACAAAGTGTAATTGAGGCGTTGCGGTGGCGGCTTCGGTGTTGCCAATTATAATCTACAGGAGGCGAGCTGTGCGATTTCAAAAGGGGGAAACCTGTGAAAGGAGTAGTAGGCCCCACTTTTCCTCTCAGTTCTCGGCTTTGAAATTCAATTCAAGAGATGAAATTCAAGTATCAAAAGAAACATCATCAGTTCGACCCAATTAAACACGCGCTTTTGCACTTTGCACGTGGTGAGTAATGAGATGGACTCTTGGACTCTTTTCTAATTAACTAGTGGGTAAAGGTCCTCTACAAATTTAAGAGGACTTTCTTATTTCAATAAGGTATTTTTAGTTCAAAATCCATACCATTCTGCTTCCCACAGTTATCGGCAAGGCCTTTCTATACCTGGGAACTCCGCCCCTCTGTCCGCTTCACCAGAGCTGTCCTCTCCTCCAACTCCACTGCCAATATCTGGGCATCCTTCCCATCTGCAGCCTGTGCTCGTTCCCTGATATCAAGATCCCGGCGAGATGTTTGAATTCGTGCTCTTCGTGATTCGGCAAGTCACCGGATTCATCTGCCCCATGAAGATCTTCCACGAAATTCAGGAAATGGAGGAGCATCCAGTGAGCCGGGAGGACTGGGACATCTGGGCGGACATTTGAGATTTGATTCGGCGCCATGACAACCAAACAATTGATTAATGAGGGGGCGGAACGGAACGGAGCGGAGTGGAGCGGAAGCGGTTGGCAATAAAGAGATCTCTCGTTTGTCCCCTTGAGTTGCCCTCGTTACTCGACTCCGATTCGCACATAATTTTCGCATAAATTGTCAAATAATTTAAAGCCCTCCTATTGAGCCAGGAGTCAAGGTAACCTAAGCCTTCAAATGGAATTTATTGCTCCGGCTTAGGCTGAAGTGGGTATCAGAAGGCGGCAGGGCGATGCCGGTGTCTACTATCAGCAGGCATCATTGGGTGTCGTTGAAATGCCAGTAATTGCGTATTAAAATTATACACCGGGGACCATTTGTTTAATGAAATGTAGTCGTGTCTGTGAGCTAATTAGCTTGTCGTTCGCTCGTATTTATGCAAAGTAATTGAAGACGAAACGCCTCTGGGGGGCGAATAGTTCTTGTAATCACTGACAGCACTGGGTGGGATTTTAATTTTCCGCTCGACCAGTTGATGATAGAGGAGAGATTATAGAAGCACCAAAGGCAAAAATTCACTATGACATATCTACAAAAGTTTTCCTGAATGTAATTTTAGAAATTATTAAAGCTTGTTCTGTATCTTGGCATTCACTAAATTGATAAAGTTGTCCTAGGACTATTTGGTCCATCTCTAGTTCGCATTCCGTGTCGACCAAGGCGGTGGTCGCACTGCGGAAATTGTCACCTCGCCGCCTGCTTTGCAATTCAAATGTGTCCCCTTTGACCCCGACTGGGTCCCAGCAAAGGTATTTCAATAAGCCGCTCTGAGGTCCGTTGTCCGTTGTCCGTTGTCCGAGTGCAGGGCGAATCGTCAATCGATTGACTCGAAGGCAATTTGTTTGCTTGTCGCATTCGAACTATTCACCCCACTCTCGCACGATGACAAGTTGTTCTAAGCATCTCTGACATGCCACACGGTTCCGCCCTCCTGCGTGTTTTTCCTTCGTCTTTTTGTTTTTTATTGCGCCGCCCCAGCAGTTGACACAATTTGACTTTTGGCTCGAGCGACGCCCCGAACTTTTGAACTAATCTATTTGTATTTGTTTAACTTTGTAGCGATAAAGCTGACATTGTCCTGTGTGTCTGCCTGCGTGTGTGTAGAGACAGGTGCTGGGTTTGGGGTGGAGCCAGGTGATGCAGGTCGTTGAGGTCGAGGTTTTTACCCTCCATGTTTTCCTTACCCCATGGAGAAAATCAAGTGGATTATGATTGCGATAACCCAAAACCGTTGTAAAAAACCAATAGCAAATAATGATGGACTTGAGAACTTTATTTGATTTGAAAACCAAAATATAAAGACAAGTTGGAAGGTATTGTTGAAGAAAGTGTGGTTTCTAGTTAGAGAAATTTCAGTTCCAAGTCACAAACATTAAACTTTAACCGTTTAAGATACTTTCGCCTAATGACGTACGTAGCTGCCCAGCCATATAATCGAAATTGCATTAACGATAGATATAGCATTGCTTTCTGAAGCCTTTGCCAATTATGAGGATATCTGAGTCGAGTCCCCTGCCCTCTGTTGTCATTAATACCGCAAATTAGCCCGGCAAGTGGAGGGTGAGGGGAAGTCGAGCTCAACTAATAACTTCTACTTGCGTAAACAGCCCGTAAACCAATTTCTCCCGGCTGTGCTTTCATTAGCGCTGCCTGAATGGCCAAAGTCCCTGATTCTCTCATTCTCACCACTCTGCCCCCTTGAAGTCCTTGGCCCCCCAGCGTCGTCCTTGGCCCTGCTAAACGATTATTGAACTGGCAACATGAGTGTGTGGATCCGGGCGCGTCCAGGTCCCGTAGAGTAGTTGAGGCTGCCGCTGCCCAACTGATTGCCAGATTTGTTAATTATGCACGTTATAATTAATGTTCTCTGCCGTGGCTCCACCCGCCCCACCCACCACACACGGCTACAGCTGCCGCCCACAACCGTCTCACACTTGTCCCGGCTAATTGTCAATAAATTTGCGAGCTCAAAATATCATTTCGAACCTCGTCGCCGCCGCTGTCATGCTGGCTGTCAGTTGTGCTTAATGCTTAAATGAAATCTAATCACGTTCTAATTTCAGTTAAGTGTGACAGCGAATTGTGCGACCCGCCGACCCGTCCCAGGACCCTGACCCCTGACTCCTGGCCCCTCGTCTTATCCCTGTCCCGCCAGTTTCCGTTTCCGTTTATCGTCTGCTTGTATTCCATTTCCGGTGGAATGGTCTCACACTTCTGGTTTTTCTTGGCGTGCTTCCAGTAGCTAGATTTTGCATTCCATAAAGAGGTTCAAGGTGAAAATCAAGGATACAGGTTTTTTTAAGTAGTCTGATCATTCAATATTATTAACTAATATTAAGGAAGTTAATTAATCATTTTCTCTGTATCTTATACACTATATAATCATGTTTTGTTTTCTGCTCATCATTAGGAATAATCCCGATTTTCCCGTCTGACGGAAAAGTTCCACAAAATTGCGCAACTGGCGTTTGGGGCTTCCACGACCGCAGCTCCCATCACTGCATGTTTCATAACTTTTCATTTGAAAATGATGCCGGAGGGGCCGCCGAAACTATTTCGTTTTCAAATTAGCAAACGGTTTTCCCTTCGAAAATCTAGTTAATTAGCGCTCAACAACAAACAACTCCGGGGAGGAACAACAGCAACAGCAGCATCATCGCTATCATCATCATCATCATCAGAGGCATAGTCATCATCGTCATTGAGAGCAGTCGCAGAACTTTTTCGGAAAACGAAAACGAAAATAGTTGAAAAACTGGGAAAGCCACCCGCCCGCCCACTTCCCTGCCTTCCACGGGCCACCAAAAAGTATGCAATGCAAGAGAGTGCTCGTGAATTAAGCAATTAGCCAACTCCGGAACAGGGCAGCCAAAGAAAAAGGCAGAATAAAAACGCCGAATGGCGAATTAGCCGGCATTGGAGCGGCTCCGCCTATATTGCAGCCAGAGTGTGACGTGGCCCCAACGCCTGCTAATTGACCAATATTGCCGTCTTCGCATCATCGGCGGATCGAATCGAATCGAATCGAATCGAATCCCTGACATTGGTCTCGGTATTGGTTTCGTCCCGGCATTGGCATGGTAATTGCAATCGCAGGAATTCCACAGCCACTCCAAGGACAACGATACTGTGCGGGGACAAGGCATAAATACGGCCAATAAATTGAATTTATTTCAGCCAGCTACCAATTCCAATTTTGAGCATTAGCTGCCCTTTCTTTTGGTTCTGTCGGGTAGAGTTTGCTGATATTTTTATCAGCATAATACTTTTACAGGATTGGTGTATTAAGTTAATTCTTATATAAAGTAAAGTAAATTAAGTTTACTCCTTGTTTTTAAAGTTTCCCCTAGGTTTAACATTTTGAATCATTCTTCAGAATCTTATATCTTTTATCAAGACGTATAGTGCTTATATAATAAGCCACTTTCTCATAAAGACATTCATAACTTTATTGACTTTTATTCCCATCATAGAGTATGTGGCATTCGCCTTTGGGCCAACGAATTCTCGGCTTCCCTTTTGTCGACTGCTTTTTGGCACATTGCTTATTGATTATTTTTACTAATTTATGTGCTAATAAAATTGTCAATTTGTATGCGTGCAGCGCCGTTTCGAATTGAGGCGAATTCCATTGCTGCGAGTGGCTGCGATGTCCTGCAAGGAGGCGGTCTGAGGACGGGAGGGGGTGTGGCCCGGCTGACAGGACCATTAGACTTAAGTGTCTGCTGTTGGCCAGGCCAGGCCAGGCCCTGCTCCCCTCTCTCCGCTACTACTCCTCTCCACTCTACTCCATCTTTGGCCAACAACTGAGGGCATCCTGCCAAAGGCGCTCACAAACGACGCTGCAGGACATTTCTGGTAATGATTTTCCGTCGCGTTAGGGACCCGGCTTTGGCTTTAGTTTCAGATTTGCGCTTTGTCCGCGGACAAGGGAAATCTCAACCATTCCGTCCCTGCCTTTGGACTGGCTTATTATGCCGCATTTGAGTTTAAATACGGCCGCAAGGATTTACCCGATTGCCTTGGGGCTATTGATAATCTTTTGCAGCGAGCGATTGGCTCAGTATTTATGCAAATGTTCTGGAGAATTATGGCAAGTCTGGGAATTGAATGAGAAATGAACTGGCTTCCCCTTGGATGGGACAAATGATAAGGTTGAGGTAAGCCCCGAACCCAGGTTGCCACTTGAGTGTTTCGAATTAAATTCAATTTCAAGGAAACAACAATTTGTTTAATTACTTTTACTCACTTTGCCTTAAGAAAATGAAACTGCTGGAAAGATATTTTAATGTGTTATTAGAAAGGATTTAGTGAGTAACTCTAAGATTTATCTATATCCATTCTATACAAGAGATTTCTTTACACAACTGATTAAGGGAAACCCGCTAATTTAGACAGGCTTAATTTGCAAAACCTCTTCGGCTTCGAATTGGCAACTTCATCTCTAAAAACTCTGCCTACCTTCCTCTCTTCGGGAATAAAAAATATTTTCGCACATTTCCCCAAAGTACCCATTTCCACTTAGCAACCTTTCTGGCCCTCTCCAGAAACAGCAAGGCTTTTACGGCATTCGGGCCATTCTCGGCGGTAAAAGGTGGGAAAATGGGTGGCAAAGATACCCCTTGAGCGAGCCACTTGATGATGAAGACATTTTGCCCGCTAAAAAATCGTATTTACAACATAATTTACGCTTAAAGCGGCAAAGGAGCCATGGTGTGATGGAATGATGGCAGTGAAGGTGAAGGGATGCGAATCGCCCATTCAGAGTGCCGCCACTCAAGTGCCACTTTGCCATAGTTGTCCCAGGCTCCGCTCCGGCAGAAATAGCACAATTTTATGGCCTTTAATGGCAAACTTTTAGTGGTCAATGCAATGGCTGCCACAACAACATCGAGGCTCCCGCCAAGAAAGAGCAAG